GATCATGACCTGAGCCGAAGGCAGACGCTTAATGACTGAGCCACCCAGGAGTCCCCATCTTAATAATTTTTAAGTGTATAATACAGTAGCATTAACTCTATGTACATTGTTGTGCAACAGACCTTTAGAATCTTTTCATATCGCAAAACTCAAACTCTATATTCATTGAACAACAGTTCTCCTTTGCCCTTCCCCCTGCCCCTGGCAACCAGCATTCTATTTCCTGTTTCTAGGAGCCTGACAAGAGTTAGATGCTGCATAAAAGTAGAATCATGCAGTATTCATCTTTTTGTGACTGGCCCATTTTACTGAGCATAATGTCTTCAAGTTTCATCTGTGTTGTAGCGTGTAGCAGGACTTCCTTCTTTTTCTTTCTTTCTTTTTTTTAATTTAAATTCAGTTAGCCAACATATAGTACATCATTAGTTTCAGATGTAGTGTTCAGTGATTCATCAGTTGCATATAACACCCAGTGCTCATCACATCACGTGCCCTCCTTAATGCCCATCCCCCAGTTACCCCATCCACCCATCCACCTTCCCTTCTGCAACCCTCAATTTGTTTTCCAGAGTCAAGAGTCTCTCATGGTTTGTCTCCCTCTCTGATATCTTCCCATTCAGTTTTTCCTTCTTTTTTAAGGCTGACTAGGATTCTGCTGTATGTATGTACCACATTTTAAAAATTATTCATTCATCCATCGATGGATGCTTAGGTTGCATCTACATCTTGGCTATTGTGAATAAAGCTGCAGTGAACATGGGAGTGTTAATATCTCTTCAAGATCCTGTTCTCAATTCTGGTTGGTATTGCTGAGTCATATGGTAATTCTATGTTTAGATTTTTTTTTTAAATTTTATTTACTTATTTGAGAGAGAGAGAATGAGAGAGAGAGAACACATGAGAGGGGATAGGGTCAGAGGACGAAGCAGACTCCCTGCCGAGCAGGGAGCCCGATGCGGGACTCGATCCAGGGACTCCAGGATCATGACCTGAGCCGAAGGCAGTCGCTTAACCAACTGAGCCACCCAGGCGCCCTCTATGTTTAGATTTTTTAAGGAAAAAACCACACTCTTCTTCCATCGCGTTTTCCATGGTGCTGTACCATTTTCCATTCCCACCAACAGTGCACAAGGGTCCCAACTTCCCTGAATCCTCACCAATGTTGTTATTGTCCCCCCTTTTCCTGGGGGGTGTGAGGTGATAGTTCATTGTGTTTTTGATTTTCATTTCCCTGTTGATTAGTGATGTTGAGCACCTTTTCATAGCTTGTTGGCCTTTCTCTGGTATTTCTTTTTAAGGACACTCACAGTGAAGGTTCAGGAATGGTCAGATAAATGTAGGAAGCATCATGTGTCTCAAATGGCACTGGATTTCTAGTCTTTTCTCTTTCTTCATTTTACCTCCTCTGTGCAAGCTACATCACCCTCCCTGCTCATGAGGTACAAGGAGGGGAAAGATCATAGGATTGCTTCAAAGGAAGAAACATTTCAGATGTAAGGAAAGTCTTTATTTCCTTCCTAGAGAAATCATTTTGCTTGCACATTTCTCATGGCTCATGGTCTCTGTCTATGGACATAATATTTAATATAAAATTTTCTCTTTTACATTAAAAAAGAAAGGAGAGGCCCTCAAGCTCAAAAACAAATGAATGTATAGAATCTGGGCTTATATTTGGCATAGAATAGCTCAGCTGTGGCTGAGCTACTGGGCTGGTTGTGTAAATTAGCAAGAGGCTGATAAAAGCCCAAATGATTTCCATCAGATCCTTTAAGATTTGGGTGGACTCGGTGTGAGGCAACGCAAAAGAAAAAAGGGAGAGAGTAGACATATTGATAAGATCATGGTAGCTTCTCTGAGCTGTAAAATAAGGGTAGTAATTCCTGCCTACTTCATGGAGGCGTGGAAAAGATTATGAAATATTTAAAATGAGTTTAAAGCTGCCTTTGGGGTGAAATGCTTTATGTAAGAATAAGGCATTTTATATCTCAAAAGAGAAACAGAATTTTATAGACAAACTTTTCTTTGATTTGACATTCACTTAGCTTTATGAGATGTCTAAAGAGTACCTTTTTAAGAGGGATAAAAATCTGTCATCAATAAGCCCAGTTCTCTCAGGGAAGGAGGGCAGTGACATGAGGTGGGATCTAACAATAAAAGGAGTGTCAACTCCATGAGGAAGAAAGGCACAAGGGTGCCCTGCACTTTGGTCTTTATTTTAACTGTGAAAATGATCACCAGGACTTAGATTTGGCTGGATCTTCAATGTCATAGACGTCACAAGATCTTGTAACAGTTTAGTCAACAAAGCAGCCCAACTAGTTGTCTGTTTGAACTGACTACTTGTTGGATTGTTTTGATTTACGTTTACAGTCCACTTGACCACCTGAATGGATAAATAAGGGATATACAAAGCTAATGCATGGGAGGAATCCCTGGGAATTGGATGTGGATGATATGCTCTCTGTGACTATGATGTGTAAGCCAAATTGACAAACAAAGGGAAAGCAGATTTGATACACATGTTCCTCTCTAGGCATCAAACTCTGGTTCACACTGGCCTTAAGTTCAAAACTATGGAAGAACCTGGAATCAGTAGTTTATTTACTTTGGATTTTAATTTTGAAACAAAACAAAACAAAACAAAAACGGAATGCCACCAAATGGCACTTCATCTCAGAATAAAATTTTAATATTACTGTGCAAGTAAACATCTATGGATTCCTGTTCCCACACTCGTTGCCAAGTCTCAGAACACCCTTGGATAATTTTCTTGTACTTACAATAAAATGCCCAAATTATCCTTACATACTGCCACTTTTCTGCCTAGTTATTATAGATCTCGCTTCCTTTGGCCTCACCTAGGTGACTAGGCAAGTTAATTAAGCTCACTGTGATTCATTTTATTTGGTATAAAATGGGCATTATTATTCCTACATCATAGAAATCCTATAAAGATCAAGTACATAAAGATCTTAGATTTGGCTGGATCTTCAATGTCATAGACGTCACAAGATCTTGTAACAGTTTAGTTCCTTGCTAAAAGGTGCCTTAAAATACTCCTAAGGGCCACCAGCAGGGCTGCTGCTATAGGGACGGATCCTTTTACGGCTCTGGCTTTACCGGGTGGCAAAGGATCATGACTTTGGCCATTCTGCCTAATATGGCTGCCATTTAGCTCTTCACCCATCTCCCACCACCCGGCAGCTCACTTACTAGTCCCCAGCCACTTAGGAGTACCCAAAGATCATTCCTGGACAGAGATCTTTGTATTTGCTTGTTCTCTGCCTGGAACTCTTTGAACCCAGGTCTGCACATGGCTGTCTCCCTCCTGTCATGAGATCACAGCTCGAGTATCCCCTGGGGAGCCTCTCCTGGAGAGTCTCCTCCTTAGTCACTATCCCATTTCCTGTGCTAGTTCTGTCATGGCCCCTCTCCTTTCGGATGTCATCTTGTTTATTATTTACTTGTGAGTTGTCTGTCTCTTCCCTACTAGAATGTAAGTTGTCTGAGAGCAGAAATCTTGATGCCTTTGTCCGACCCGCAGAACTATTGTTCATTACATTGCTCATTACACATCTTTTGAAAGAATGGATGACTATTATTGCCTAAGTCAAATTTTCCCTTTATTTTTAAAATCCACAGATGCTCTTTCCTATTGAAGAGCAGATGTTTTATCTAGGGTAAATACTCTAACACTTGTCTTAAATCAGTTTGTTCGTCTTTCTGCTTCTCTCCGAATGTGAGCACTCACAGGGTAAAATTTCCATTTTCTTGCTCTACTTTACGTTTCGAGGTGTGAAAGAGAATGAACTCCTTAAGCAAGCTATAAAGGCAGACATCTATTTCCTCCCGGCTTTGCTGTGTGCCCCATTTATGAGCCAACAAAATATGTTTGGCCACGTGTTTACATAAACAAATAAATATGTCTATGGAATGGAAATGCATCCACACTAAATGAATTGTGAATGTCTGTTTGAATAGACAAACTTGTGGGTACATCTTTCTAGCTCTTGAGCCGAAAACAGTAATCTGTGTCTAATTGTCACTACTTTGCAAGTTGGTATTTTAAAAATTAATGCCATCTTTCATATTTGTGAGTATATTTATCCAAAGAGCAAATTAAAATAAATATTGTTGTTACCTGATAAAAGGCTCTGTGGTGGTTTTATTATTTTTTTTTCCCAAGACCATTTCTATGTTTTTCCTTTCCATCAAATTGGGTTCAGTTGAATTCCAAATAAAATTTGTTATATTCTGGCTTTATATATGGAATTATCCTTAAGTTTCTTAATTCTTTTGTAGAAATCACTTTTCTCATTAGAAACCAAAATAGTAATAATATGAACTAAATTAAAATATTGCTTACGGTTTAACATTGTAGTCTTGATAACTTTATTTATATGGTTTCCTTTATTTAAAAGAGCATTCTTGAAATAAGTGATGTATTTGTAGTAATCATGGTTAATTGTATAGAGAATGAATAATTTCCAACTGGTGGTTTTGATAACCAGTGATCAGCACCTCGAGCAGGTTTAGCACAGAGTAGGAGTTTAATAAATATCTGTTAAATGAATCTTTAGCATGTCATACAATATTTAGCATTCCTGATAGCATGGAAACTTTCAGAAATAGAAAAATCAATGCAATTTGCTGAATTTGGAAATGGTTAGTCTTTTCACATATTATCTTAATTTTCTTACCTCATTGCTAAAGTATTGACATCAGTTCTCAAGCCACTAAATTTTATCTTAAAGAAGAAACCAATACAAAAGGAGAGAATCTTCCAGACACATTTGGAAAGGTCTCAAATGTTCCAAAGTTCTAAAAGTTCATGATTTCAAAAGCCAAGGATATTTAGATGAGTGGTGCTGATTTAATCTATGGTTCTTTTTCTCTCTTTTAATACTGCAGTTTCTAAAAAGGTCTCAAACAAAGAGAACTTCAAAAACTCTGAAATGTAGACTATGACAATAATTAAGAAAATGCAGAAAGGGCACTGGTAGATTTTTAAAAACTATTTTAATACAAGATTAATAGCAATTTTCTATCCAAATCAGAAATGAAAAATCTTAACCCAAGTAATACTCATTTGACAGTCACATAAAATTTTAGGTTTGATTGGTGCACACATTTGTCCTGCATATATATTATGCATATGCACACAGAGACCTCACTGTTAATCCATCGTCAGGGGTCTTCTCATGGAAGTACCTCATTACAAGGCAATGTCAAAGATTCGAGTAACTACTCAACTCTGAATGAGGTTCAAATAGCCCCAGGCTAGGCTGAGTCCCACGCCATAGCAAACCGTGATGCAGCAAGGCTCCAGAATGCATACAAATCAATACTCTATTTGTATAACTTGGCCTGAAACTAAACACTGGCTAATGTCTCCACCAAGGAGAAACACGTTGCAAATGTATAAGTTATGGTCTCCTTTACTCTTCTCTTGGCAAAGCTAAACTGCCCCCCCCCACTCCCCACACACACCCTCTTTTAAGTTAAAAGTCAGGTCTATTAGTGACTGTAAGTAAATAAAAATGAGTTGGTATTTCTGCAAGTTTTGGATAAGTCAAAACTTACATTTGCTAACACTTCCACCTGTAATCAAACCACCTGATAATTAGCCTTGCGGAGAGAAGCCATAAAAGAGTTCACAACTCAGGAATTTGCTAAGTTTCTATTCCTCCTTGGGGACTTTAGTTGGTGTTCAGTGTGTAGCCAAAACATGTATGTAATGGCTAAAGCATTAAAGTAGGCTAATGTCTGCAGCAGGGAATATAAATTAAATATCAGGGTTCTGTGTCCAGTAATATTTTCAATATGTTTGATTTACAGAATGTTACTTTTACAATTACTACTTAATAGTGTTTTTCAGTGTAGACAAAGTAATATTTCCTATCCCTTACAATGGAAGTAGGTAATACCAGTTACTTCTCTGGGTAAATCACCGTAAGGGAGTCCGATCGCTAGTGGTAACGTTTTTCTATGATGGCGGTCATCAAAGTACCCACTTGATCTTCATTAAGGTGACAGAAGGCTGTCATGGTTACCCTTCGATACAGAACCATAAGCAGAGCTCTTATTCATGAATTTGCAATTCATTCTTCTCTGCTAAAGACTTTAGCCTCTGTTTAGCTTTTGTTATAACATATACAAAGTATAATATACACCAGTTACAGACGTGTATTTCTGTTAGAAAAATACATATTATAACTAAAGAACATGTAAAGAGAGGCACTTCAATAAAGCTAAGTGTTTGCGGTCATGAGCATCACCCAACAATTTCTAGTGTCTGATTTCAGTGAGCCCATTCCTCCCTACTCCTAACAGAGGTTGTGATGTGATTAGAGAATTTAGGGGACATCAAAGCAAATGAGGGCAGATCGGGAGAAATAATGGAGCATCCTCTCATCCCCCATGGCTATGTTTAGACGAGAGAAATTAACGTGGCAGGGGGTGGGGGAGAGGAGGAATGCTGAAATACTTACTGAAATGGGATAACTAGATTAAACTAATTCCCTTAGGACAGAAAACAAGTCTCATGTTACATTGGTCTGAAAATCATACAACACAGTCGGATGATGATAAAAGCTAGGAAGTGCGATTTGAATAGTATTTTGACCACATCCATGCAGGGGATGAATGTTGTGGCATCATTAACTGATAGTCATTTCAGCTCTCTGCCTGGCTCGTATGGATCACTGTTATCTCACCAATATGAATAGTATCAATCGTGAAGGTGTTGAAACAAATGAAGCAGGCGTTTATATATTATCTGTGTGTTTAGTGTATACGGAGCATGGGTTCACATTCATTAATATAACGTGTATTCATACACATGCACAAAGCCTTTTGGGGGTGAAAGCACAGAGGAAACAAGGCATTCTGCTCTACTTCACAGAAGACAATGCAGAAATACTGAAAAAAGGAAAGACTTGGAGTTTAAAGCCATAAAAACAAGTTATTACTCAAATATTCTGGAAAATCAAAATTGATTTAATTGGTATTGCACCTTAATTATTGGAAAAAGACAATACTGATTTCTGAACATACAATGAAATGGGCAATGTAAATGATTGGTCCTTCATAGAGATGTTTTCTGTGTAATTGGTGATAGGAAGCCGAAGTTTGGCAGTGAAATGGATGGTTTTCTAGAAGTATGCAATGCTGAATTAGATTAGGTGTTAATTTCATAAAGATTTAAATGAAAAGATGCCACAAAGTCTCATAGAATCCTACTTTTTATATTTCCCTAGGCATAAAATAGCAATAGATGCTTCTAAATACTTTGCAGTTTTGCAAAAGTGCTCAAATATACTTAATACTATTGTGCCGCATGTGTTCTACTTAAATGTGACGACTAAATCAATAACTAATTATAATTTTGATGAGAGCAAAGATAAAAAAATACCATTTACACGCCATTTCTGCCAATGGGTTAAATAAAATGTGACTGGCATACGGTGGTGTCTTGAAACATTACTTTTCCCAACCCCAGATCATCATCAAAACCAAGAAACACATGGAGAGCCAACTATATGAATAAAGCCCCAGTTTGGTTTATTTTGCTTCTCTCTACCAAGGGGAGCATAAGGGCCTGGCTTTGGTACACTTGGAGGGTCAGTTAGGCTTGTGGCTCTAAGGGGCCTCTTGAGTTAGGTCCTATGTCCAAGTCCAAGTGCCAAGCGGGAATCCTAGGCTGAAGGCGTACATGGAAGCAATGGTTTTGCGTGTATACACCATTCTACAGTTTCCATCACCAGGACAGTCCTGCACACCCATGGCTCCCCCCGTGAGCCCGGTACCATCTGGAGCACCCAGGACAAAGCACGCTCATGCAAAAAAGGGTGTGCCCTGGCAAACTTTTAAGAAACGGACAATTAGATACGTAAAAAGTTCTCTTTCTTGATTCTTGGTGCTCACAGATCGTTGAGGAATCCCTTCTCTGAGCAGCACAAAACAAGAAGAGGTGGTTGACAAAACATTTTCGTTACAAAGGTGTGTCAACCCTGAGCTTGGAATTAAGAAGTTAAAATCTGTGATTTATATATATATAGAGAGATATAAAAATAGATGATCATACTAAGACTAAAAAAGTGAAAGAAATCTCCATGTCAATACTATATATATATATATATATATATTTTTTTTTTTTTTGTCTTGACGGTTTTTGTTGTGAGTTATTTTGTAAGAGAATGCCCTTGTGATGCAGAAACCAACTGACACAAAGCAAACTGTTAAACATGAAAACTCACTTATGGATCAAATTGCTTATGAGTTCATTAAAAGAACTCTTATTTGGGGACGGTAATGAGCACAGGGGCAGAAATGTCGAATTAACGTTCAACCTGTGGCTAAAGCAAAGCCACTGTATCACAGAAGATTATTTTCAATTCAGACCCTTAAGGAGGATGAATTGATGGGAATGTCCACTAGTAGCTGGAGATGAAGAGAAAAATCTGTGCCAATTGGATACAGGGGACAGACATTAAGAGAATTAAGGAAAATGGTGCCATCATTGAAATTGAAATTGGGCAAGGTGAGAGAGAGGTGCTGGGTCATGGCAATTTTGCTCTCATGTTAACGATGGAGTTCTAAATTTAGTATCAGTACCCCCAATTCAATTTGGTATTGTGTGGATAGAGTGCAAGACAATACCTCCAAGACAACACTGTATTTTCACCACGTTAAAAAAAAATCTCAAACTTTCTCCCCGAAAGCATTTTGTAAACCCGATTCATCACAGAAAAGCTTATACTGGGAGTCAGCTGGCAATGCTGAACTTACAGTGTTAAAGTTTTTTTATTTTTCTCTCTTATTGGCTCCTTTGTAGAAAGTGCAGTTGTCTTGGGGGTTTGGCCTGATTTTACAAGGGAAATTATTTTCTTCCTGCCTTTTTTTTTTTTTTTAAACAGGAAAAAAAAAAAACTCACAACGTGAGATTCCTTTACTTCTGCAGCATAAAAGCAAATGAAGGTAAGAAAATCTCCTGGTATGAAAGATTTGAGTTAAGAATTCTCTAGAATAAACAAGGTCCCCACAGAGAGCTGAAGGAAAGAGGAAGCAGTCCAGTGTGGCACCCAGTACTCTTTGGGCAAACAGAAAGGGAGGCAGAGTGCAGTACTGTCTCTTCTCATAGAAAACGGGTAAGTTTTTGTGGCATGGTCCATTGTCCAAGAGTGTAAGAAAAGAAGTGAGTTGGCCATTCAGATAGCTAAAATGCAGTTTCATCTGACCAAACACCCAGGATTATCTGCACAGTCTCTGCAGTGCCAGGACGATGCAGACCAGAGATCCTGAGAGCAGGGAGTGGCTGGGCTGGGCTGCCGAAGAGTCCACCTCTCTCCGGTCGGGGTCCACCGCGGGGGCCTCTGTGGTGACGAACTCAAACTCCGTGGGACACACATCATCCATGCACCCACTGCCACTCCCCGAGCCGCTGGATTCATCGCCTGGCGTGGGCGGATTGAGAAAGAAAGTTAGACCAGGACTGGGAAGGAGTGGGGGCACCCACCAGATTTGGGTCTGGGGGTGGAAGGGATGTTCCCCCTCCCAACCCCCACGACGGGTTTGTGTTTAGCGGGCAGGTTTGTGATGGGCAGGCAGACCTGACCAAAATAGATGTCTGACACCCAGTGCTAACTGACATCCAGTTACCCAACTGACGAAACGTATGACTCCTAGACCCGGCGAGGGCCATCCCTACAGTGTTGGCATTCAAGAGGTATTTCTTATTCTGGTTAATGTTTAAATTGCTTTAAGAAATTCTGTCCCTCGCTCCTTTTGTACCTTGGGGCCATTGTTCTCAGCAGATATTGTGCTTTGGTAAAGGATCTTGAAATGAGGTTTAAGGTAAACAAAGACGGCTAAGTAGGCAACCTGAGAACAGGCGCACATAGTTGTGAAAGGCACGTATTATTATGCATTTTGACTACTTGATTCCACCTGTGTTCTCCTCTAAGATTGAGGATGAGCTCCATCTCAACCAACTTCTCCCTCTGACCCCGGGGTGGACGACTATGGACAGCTGCTTGCATTTGTTGGGACCATAACCCAAGAATGGTTTTTATATTTTCAAGTTTTTTAAAAAAAATAATCCAACGGAGAATAGTATTTTGTGACATATGAGTAGGGTGTGTGCGAAATCTAAACCTCAGTGTCCATGGATGAGGTTATACTGGAACATAGCCACCCCCTTCGCTTCTGCATTGTCTCATTCTGCATTCAAAGCTGAGCATATTTAATATCTGGCTCTTGACAGAAAATGTTTGCCATTCCTGCTTGAAATCAACGCCCAGGTGCCCACCTCGTATGTCCTCTTAGCATGGCGTCTTCCCACTTGCCTGCCATGCCTTCTGGGCCTGCTCTAGTCCACTTCTCACCGCTTGCTTCCTTCCTGCTTCACAAACCCTGTGTCTCAGACCGGGGTCCCAGTTCGGTGGAAGTACTTAACGCCATTTGCAACTGTAGTATTAACTTGCTTGTTCTCTTGTGTCCCCTGTGAGAATGTGTGCTTGTGGAGGGCAGAGACTTTGTGTGGTGTATACTGTTCACTTCTGTATCCCCATGGCCTTTAACGGTCCCTGGCGTGCAGCAGGTGCACAAAAATTCCTCGCTGAACAGTTAAATGTGCCTTGAGCAGTTTCCTCAACTTCTGTCCCTTTCCTTATCTCAACAGATCCAGACGATGGCATTTACATGTAGAGCGTGTGTGAAGCCATTCTGGTAAAATGTGTGAGGGCACCAAACGCTGCACTTGCAATGAGGCCTGATGGGAAAACAAAGAACAAAAAACACGGTTCCTACAGCAAAGAGGACCTAGATTTTAACCTGCCGTTTTTTTCTCTAAGTGAACGAGGGCAAGCCGTTGAGCCTCACTGGGCTCGCTTGCTCAGCAGTAAAAAGGAGAATATTCCTGTTTCACAGGATCGTTAGGGGGAATAGGTGAGATAATGTGCCTGGGAGAACAGAGGAAACTGTAAACCTGGTAATGACATTTCCTGTTTGCCCCACTTGCTCAAAGATTCACTCAATAAATTCCTCCCTGTTGGCTTGAAACAAGGATGAGCTTGTTGAGCTGCCCCTGGCATACCGGCACCATCTTGGGCACTAGATACCATGTAAGTGCTGCCAAGTAACACAGGGGCTCTTCTATGGTCCCCCCGAATAAGCAAGGCACAACTCAGCATGATTCTTCTTCTTCTTCTTTTTAAATGGGACATCTAAATATCAGGTAAGATCACTTGAATACACTATACCAGGTTCTTAACATTTTCTCGGATTTATCTTTAGTGGCCTTTACAAGGGGGAAAATGCCCATTAATTAAATTCAGAGATACCAGAACTGCTAAGGGAATTGTTCTTAACACTGGTATTATGAACAAGAAGTACTATAACCTTTACAAAGATATTATTAAAGTGATTTAGAATATTAAAACTGTGGTAAGCAAATAATGACAGGAGATCCAGCTGAGAAAAATAATGGCCCCATCTCTTTCTGAAAAGGAGTCAGAAATGCAGGAGTTTAAGGGGTGATTTTTCAAAATGTCAAAGGCAGGAAGGGTGATGATTGTTGTAAGATGTGATAATGGTTTATAGGACAGACACTATCCTAAAACGGAGGACCAAATATGGGGCTTGGGTTAGAGCTAAGTGATGCTCTTAACTGTTGTTAATTTTTATTTTCTTGTGAGGGGAAGTGGAGCACGATCTCTCTGCAAGGACGTTCCCTAAGCTTTGCAGACTGACATGTACATAACCTCTTTAGGTCAAAGAGGAAAGAGAAACAAGGCCAACCTCAACTAATTCTTACATTATCTTGAATTACTTATTCCTATAGTCATTCTCCAGATAATAAAGCATTTCGTGAGACAGAGAGGATGACGATGCATTCAGAGGAGCGAAGCTAAGGAACGAGCAGGGGAGAAGCATCAAAGGCTAACACCTCGTGGAAGGTTCTCTTCTGAAGAGGTAAAGAAGAAGTTTAGTGAAGAGGAGGAGAAATAATAGGAGGACTCTCAGAAATCTTACAGCAATAAAGTCTAGTGGGTTGGCAATTATCCTGCATTTAGAAAATTAATTTTTGAGTTGCTTGAAATGGAATAAAGCACTAAAAATTTTCTACAGGGGACAACTCAGTAGGATGCTGGCTAAGACTTGGATGACTTAATGTCCTCCATCTGTAACTTGTTTCTTTCTATCTCATTAATTCAAGCACACAAACATCATCTTTTGCTTCAGTGATCAAATTATAGAATCACTGGTGACTGCACAGCTTATGTTCAAGAAATCTTTTCCCAGGAACTCTGTTTAAGGATACATATCTTTAAAAAAATCCCAAAGCAATAAAATAACCCCCCCCCAAATTTGTATAGTTACACATCTTAAAACCACTTACACAAACCCCAAATTTAATTTAACGTTCACTTCATAGACTTTCCAATCACTTCTGATATTTTGGGATGGCTAATAAACTAGTCATGGTCCTATTGCACCAGCATTTCATTATTTCTGTCAATATTTCAGAGACCAATGTCTATGGTTCATACACATGAGGGACTGGATAGAGGGAGAGCTAATGCAGTTGAATCCAGGGCACATGAGATATTATCTTAGCTCCTTCACAGATGGCCGCAAATGAACTTCCCAAAGACCCGACCTCACAGGCTGGAACGTTCCCCATTCTATAGAAGAGAAATCTGAGACTCAAGAAATAATTTGCTTAAGTCGGTAAGTGATAAAACCGGGATTTCAACCTAGCCTTGTCTGAGGAAGCTTCAGAACATTCTTCTTTTGGTGGTTGGAGAAGGGGACGAGTTTGGGGCAGAGATGTAAATGATGATGGGGGAAGGAGAAGATGAAAACATTACTTTGTTGCTTGATCATGAATGGATCACCTGGCAGATGAGACCCAATGTTAGCTTGGGAAGCATTGAATGTAATCCACTGAAACTATTCCTTAAGACCAGTTATGATTTTAGTGGAATCCTAAGCTTTGTGGATCAGAGCTTTCAGTCCAAAGGACTGTAAAGAGCTCTGCAGACCAGGCAAGCAGGACACAAGATTAAATGTGAACATTGCTCTTGAAGAAAAAGTGGGGTATCATCTACAACCTGTTTCTCACTGTGGAGGTTATTGGTACCGATAAAGACTTCCTTACTTGTGTCCTGGAAGTTGACATCATTGCCATTGTATGCATTCTTTAGTTTGTTGGTCATCACACGGAGAGCCATGATCTGCTGCCTGATGAAAGTGTCGGGCCGTGTGATGTCCACGTCGACCTCCGGGTTGTTAATCTGGTTGGTCAGCCCATCGTTCATGATTTCGGGCAAGTATCTGCGAGGCCGACAGGGAAAGAACAGATTAACGTGAGGCAGGAGGGGCCTGGGTACCAGACTGTGCTGTGCTGTCTCTGACAGTGGGCCAGGACATCAGCAACAACTGAGCTCGACTCCTGAGAAGAAAGACCAGAAAGTGAAAACAAGGGATAACTTTTCTCAGAGGGAGCTATGGCTAAAAAATGGTTTCAGGGTGGTTCTTAAAATGGTACTGAATTTGTAGGGAGGCTTGCCCACGAATCAATGTTCAACTGGGGACTTACAGAAATTGTTTCTTAAAATTAACGACTTCCTCCTCTATTCCAAATGGTAGATACTAAAGTCAAGGGCTCACTAGCTTCCTCCACCATCTGGTTATTTTTGCTAAGAACTGAACTTGTAAATTACATATGCTCTTAGAGAATTCTCTTGTACGAGGATGCTCTCTCTCAACCGAGGACACCTTACCTCAGACTTTAATCAGAAGAACTTCTGGATATAAAAAACCACCTTTGGCAATTGGAGGTGTGACCAGTTAGCACTGGAATGTTTGAGGTGTCCACTGGGGTTTTTGTTTGGTAACAGCATCTTGGATCTAATATTTGATATTGGGCAAAGCAGAAGGGTAAAATCTAATGGTTAATTCTTTTACTGGCAAATTTAGGTTCATATTCCTTTAGCTTGTAAAAAATTTTAAAACTGTCAGTCCTTCAAAGCCAACTGCCCAAGCTGCCTGTGTGCATTTACACCAGTGGAGACTACAGACCTCAGAAAAGTGTCTGGAGCGCCCTCTGACTCCTCATGCTCACGACCCACCCATTTATAGCCCTCCTTCTCTTTTTCTCCCAGAGCTCCCTGCACCTGCTTCTTCTATCTCATTTCCCCTGGCTCTCCCAGAGTGCAGATGGTACAAGAGCCTCACACCAACTTCCCTCCCTGCCTCTTCCTTTCTCATGCATCCTGCACACATGATCTGACCAATCTTCACGAGCTATTGTTTTCATCAAATTACTCTTCTGTTGAAAGACTTTTGGTGATAGTAGTTGATGTCTACCAAGTACTTACTGTCAGGCACTGTGCTAAGCACCTCATATGTATTTTAAAATTCAGCCCCCTTGCACATCTAAGAGGTGCATGCTATTTTATCTCCATTTGGTAAAAGAGAAAACTGAGGCTGAGTGAGGATGAGTAGCTGTGCAAAGTTAATGGATGGCAAAACCATGATCTAAGCCCAGTAGGTCTAGTTTTAGAGTCCATGTGTCCAAATGGTGCTCCATACTGCCTGGTTGATCACACATGACAATTCACATTTTATAGCTCAGCTGTCAAGGCCCATTTCCATCCTGTCTCTACTTTCTTATGCTGCAACAATCCCTTCAAGGTGCACTCCTTGCCTAACAGAATCTACAGCCTGTATACAGCTTATACTCACCTGTCCTGCAGGCATTCCTTGCATGCAATGCACTTTCCAATTTAAGTCCCAAATATCCTTAAAGACCCAGGTCAACCTTTGCTTTCTCTTTAAGATATTTTCCAGCTTTTAGGGATCTACCCATCCTTTTGGAGGGCTGCCACATTCATCTGGGCATTTTGTGCACTGCACAAAGTCACCCGCTGAGGGAGGGAGTTTGGCTGGAATCCAGCCTGAATTCTGTGCCCACAGAGCAATGCACCTGCAGGGCACCATTCACCGAAGGGACACATTTTTATTTTTTGTTCTTCTTGGGAATTGTTTTATTTTCGAAAATTTCAATGCATACCAAAGCAGAGACAACCATATAATGAACCCTCATGTACCCATCAGGTGCCTTTTTCTAATTCTTACAAAGGTTCTATATTTGTCTGTGTCCTGGTAAGAAACAGATGGCACACTCAAAGAGGTAATAGAGTTTGAAGGAGAGACAACTTATGAAGGTGTGAACAGGGAAACCAGCGCTGGGTGGCAAGGAACCCCAAGACTGACAATAGCAGGAGGGCCAGAGGGGAAGGAACTGTCACCAGTATGCACAAGCACTGAAATCGCAGAGAGCAACTGAATGACACAGCAACTGTTAAACCAAGGCCCATCAGGGAGAGAGCTGAGGGAATGATACCCTGACTTCTCTCGTCCCTCCTTCTGACCTCCACGTGCTGCCTCCCATTAGCTGAAGCCAACTGGAGGCCAGTGGGCAAGGGGACCCAGGTGATGCAGTTTGTAGAGATCCTCCTTCAGGGCAGAGACCCAGGTGGAGGGATGAAGAGTGGATCTCAAGGGGAATCAGGACATCTGGGACAGGGACCCAATAGGCTGGGGGCAGCACTGCCTGATGGCTATATCATCGTTCTTCTACTGCTTCTACTATTGTGGCTTGCAAGCTGAGAAAACTTCATTCCTCTATTTTGTCCTTCCTTTACATATCCTTGTACAACATACTTATGCTTACAATTCTTCCCCTTCCTGCGGGTCATTTTCCAAGTTCTGGAAGCCAAAGGCTCTCTATCCATTAGCCTCCAAAAGAAGAAATGGAAACAGAGAGATTTTTATATTTCAGCCATTTTTCAGTTATTGAAATCTTATGCATAATGCATTTGTGTATGAATTGGTTTATCCATTTTAAGTCAGAGGTCCTCTGAATGAGCTCCATGTCTTCATCTAGATCTTGAACAAAATCGACTTCACCACGTTCACCACATAATGAATAATAAAACACACAGAGTGCATTGCGAATTCTTCTCCATAAAGCTTCACAGTATTTGCCACCCTAAAAAAAAGTCCTAATTGAAATTTTTAGAAGTCATAGAACCATCTCTCTTTAGTGTTACAGCAAAGCATAATATGGCTGATATACTAATAAATTCTGTTACCTTCTGGACTTGACTTCTAAAATATGACATTGGATTGACTATTATTGACATCAGTTACATGTGCTGGGCTCCACGGGCTCTACTTAATTACTAAAGCTCATTGGCATGAACAGTAGCAAGTGCAGGCTAGCCTTCGCTGAAACGGGAGTTGAGGGTGGCTGAAAGGGGCCCGTCGGTTCTGGTGTTGCCCCTCAACATCTTGGACAATGATTCCTGCAACTGTACCTAGGCCGGGTCAGAGGAGGGCTTTGTTTCTTTCAAATGCTGTGTGCACTGCACAGCTAGCCGAGATTCATTTATCAGAAGCTGACTGCGATAGCTTACATGGGAATGCTACCCCTGGGGGTCTGAGCATCCAGGAACAATAAGAGACTGCCAAATCAACCCACCCTCTAACTGTGCCTACTGATGCTCAGCTGCTTACAATAAAAACAAGTAACAATGCACCCGTGTCCTCAAGAACCTTTTCTCCTTTTGGTGTATTCAGAGGGTAACTTTAGAGACAATGTGGAAACTTAAACCACAAGCACAGTTGAAAAAGAAAATGGCCATTTTGTCACTCCAGAGGTACATCCCGAGGCCAAATCTATGGATATCCAAAGTGCAACCTGAGGGATCTATAGAAGCCCGGGACTCATGTTTGGTCTCTTTGTATAATGTTCATGTCCTGAAGAAACGGATGCCTCTTTGAGCCCATACTATTCTTTATTAGATTTTGCACCAGCTTCTTGTCATGACAGCATTCTCTTTTTGCACCATTACGTTTGGGGAGACACGGAAAGGAAGTAGGATCTTGGTACAGATAAGCCAGCTTCCCAGACTGGACGCACATTTATCCAGGGGCAGGGAGAACCCAGAAATGAGGACAGATTGGAAGGTTGAACAGGGTGTCATGGTTGGTCAATGCTTCACGCTCAGCGTGGCAAGTGGGTGCCATCCATGAACAAGCAGGCATAGCTCGCTCATTCGGGTTACCTTCTATTCTGCAAGAGCATGTATAGGAACTAGACCTTCAGTAGTTTTGCAGAATTATTTTTCTTCCCATCTGTTGTTAGGGGCTGAATGTTTGTGTTCCCCTCAAGTTCGCATGTTGAAAACCTAATGCCCAAGGTAATGGTTTCAGGAGGTGAGGTCTCTGGGAGGGGATCAGGTCATGAGGGCAGAGCTCATAAAAGAGGCCCCAGAGAGCTAGCTTAGCCCTTGCACCATGCGAGGACACAACAAAAAATGGAAAAATCTGTAACCCCGGAAGAGGGCTCTCACCGGACCGGCTGGCACACTGATGAACTTGGACTTTCAGCCTCCAGCAGTGTGGGCAGTCAATTTCTGTTGTTTCTAAGCTACCCAGATGTGGCATTTTGTTACACCAGCTTGAATGGACTAAGACCAACATCTAATTTCATATTGTGGACATAGGCTTCCTTGCTTGCACCCACACGTTACAGCTGATCGGGGTGGAAGAGTTCCGTAGGAATTGGGGGTGGGGGCACTTATATGTTCAACCTTGTGAGTGGCTGCAGGCTCTGTCGGGGCTCCCACTGGCAGAGGTGACACCCTCTGTCACTCTCCGTCACCTGACACCACAGAAGGTCGTCCCCCTCCTCCCCCCCACCCCGGCCAGCCATCATGTCCGTCATGGCCACCACTCAAAATCACTCCTTTCAGTTGCTAGATGAATGTGCTTGCCAGGAGGACAGACATGTTGACCTATCTGTAGTCTGTATTTCTTATCACCTCATTAATGCTGGTAGTTGCTTTGACAGAAGGGGGGAAAGGGACACCCAGCTCTCACAATCTAATGGGATTTGAAAGCCAGTAAAAGTCTGAGAAGCAAGACACCTGTAAGGAAGGTTATCTTGCCGGTGCCCTTTGGAGTTGGCAGAAGTCCAAGTGGAAGCCGGGTCAGGAATGGGGAGAAATGGGGGCCCCAGGTGCTAGCCTGGGTTTGTTTTAAGGTGACAGATGCTTCCTCCTACTGCTTCTGCCTCAAGGCACACTGAGCAGAGAGGTGAGAGCAGATTCAGTCCTGCTTGTTGCCACAAATGAGCTGCATTCAATACGTGTCTCTCCAGCGATTTCTAATTCTAAGCTACATACTCATTCCTTCCTGTGGTTTTAAGAGTTTTACTAATCTAAGTAGTATGATAGTAATTCAGGTCCCAATATTTCTTATCT